AAAAAAAAAAAAAAAAAAAAAGAATAATAAAAAAGAAAAAATAATACCCTGAAGCTGATTCTAGTGGTGCAGGTCTGTAATCCCTACTCTGGAGGCTAGGGGAGGATCACAAGTTCTAGGACAGCCTGGACAATCTGTTTAGACCTGTTGAAAAATCAGCTGGGGATTTAGCTTAGTGGTGCTGCTGCCTGCCTTGCAAGCACGAGGACCAGAGTTCAAGTCCCAGTACCAAAAAATAAAATAAAATAAAGAAAAAGAAAAAGGGTTGCAGATGTAGTTTAGCAGTAGAGTGCTTGCATAGCATGCAGGAGGACCTGGGTTCAATACTCAGTATTGAAAGAAAAAAAAAAAAACGTGTTTTAGATGTAGTTGACTTATATATCAGGAATTATAGCATTTACTAGAGACTGGAGGGGGAATAGTGGTATGCAAGCTAGAGGTATCTGCAGAATAGGGGAAAGGAAGAGAGAGAGAACCAGCTGAAATCTTGCATGCAACAAGGTGAATTGATTGACTCATTTCTATGCTGGGATGCAATTCTTTCTATTCTTCATTGGACTGGTGTTGGGCACTCTGTGAGCCACGATTTCAAGTTATAAATGGAACTTCAATCATTCTTAACTGTTGTTTTGCCCCTCAAGTAGTCTATTTCACAGATGTCTTCTATTTCTGTCCCCCAAATCCCCTTATTTTTTTCTTCAGTACAGTAGTTTGAACCCAGTACCTTCAGACTGAACTACATCCCAATCCCTTTTTAAAAATTTTCTATTTTGAGATAGGGCCTTGCTAAATTGCCTAAGCTGAGCTCAAATTGTAATCTTCTTGCCTCCCAGAGCTGGAATTATAGGCATGCACCATCGTGCCCAGCTATTTTTACCAATTTTAGTAAATAGTTTTGGTTGGAGGGATAAATGAAAGCAGAATAAAAGCAAGGAAGAAAAAATGTATTTCTAACTAAGGAGTTATGAATTTTTGTTTTCTTTTGTTTATCAAAGGGAATAAGCATCAGAAGGTTTAAAAACACTCCTCTCTTGAGAAGTAAGCAACTTTCAGATCTGGTTACACCCTTGGGTGTGTTGTGAATGTTAGTCATGTGTCTTTAGGGGAAAAGGAGAGCTACACTTGTCAGTGTTTTCACATGCTTTGCTTGGTTATCCTCTAGGTAACCTAAATCTTTGTCAGATTTCCCTAGCTGGCAAAAATAAAAAAATAAAAAACCCTTAGAAATCAGGCCCCGCCTGCCCACGCTGCCACTGATGCCCAGCACATTGCCCCACAGTCTGTGCAACAAACAACAACCAACTATACATTCTTTTTGGCAGCACATGGTACTTTCTCCAAAATACACTACATACTAGTTAATAAAGTATGGTTAAGCAAATGCAAAATAGTCAAAATTATCCTGTGCATTTTCTTAGATCATGGTGGAATGAAACTAGAAATCAATAGTAAAAGAAACCACAGAAACTATGCAAACATATAGAAACTAAACAACACATGCTTGAATAATCAGTGGGTCACAGAAAAAAATTAAAGAAGAAATAAGACAGTTCTAGAATTAAATGATAATGTCAGTACAACATAGCAGAATTTATGGGATACAGTGGATATAGTCCTATGAGGGAAGTTTATACCTGTGAATGCCCACATCAGAAAAACAAAACGAGCCCAAATAAATAAACTAATGATGCACACCAAGGCCCTAGAAAAAAAATGTAAAGAAGCAATCCAAGTCCAGAGCTTGGACAAGGAAGGAAATTATAAAGATCATACCAAAAATCAATAAAATGAAGACTAAAGCACACACACACATGCATGCATGCACAAAGAATCAATGAAAATATTGATTCTT